TATGTTCAGTATCTTGGAATAACCTTTAATGAAAAAATATGAAAACGACTATATGTATGAATATGCATGACTGGGACACTGTGCTGTAAACCAGAAATTGACACGTTGTAATTGACTGTACTTCAATTTAAAAAATACCAAAATAGATTTCCCTACAAGGAAGCTGACTGGAATTGAAACAGCAGTGGTAACTAAGATGCTATCCAATGAGTTGAGCAGGGTCAGGAGAACTAGAGGCAAATATACGTAGAATCACAGAGTCTTAGGGTTGGAAAGATCCCAGAAACGTTCCAGGGCGAGGAGAGTCCCTTCTGTGTTGCCCCAGTGCCGTACCTTTCTTCACTTCCATGCTTCTAATCACAGGGCACTGGTTCCTTCCCACCACTAGAACCCATTTGTTATCAAACTGCTCCTTCCTTATTTTTATTTCCCTGGAAGTCCCACCCATTGGGCTTAATTTATGACATCATAAGCTACAAATTTTTTAATTGAGTCCCCTTGCTGCACAACAGCCCCCCAAACCCTTGCACCCAGCAGTGTCACCCCTCCCAAGTCCTCTCTTAGCCCTATTTTCTGCCTAAGATCCCAGCAGACACAGCTTCCTTCCAGCCACCTCCTTCAGGAGACAGAATAATTTCTCAGTGTGCCCGGGCGGCAAAGCAACGCTGAAAGCATGATCTGACTAATGAAGAATAATTAGAACATTTCTTTTCCGTGATCTGTTTTTCTATGATTGCGGCCTAATATCAGGTTAACGTTTTTAGCAGCCCTTTCACCCTCCTGGTGCCTATTTAAAGCTCGTGGTCAATTACCACCTGCTACATTGGGTATTGCCAGAGTATTTCCCCGAGCTGCATGTGTGCCGGTGTGTTGAGCTCAGCCCTCCCAGCGGATCACCGGATAAAAAGGCCTGGTGGTGAGCCTCACTCTGCTGAACTCTGCGATGAGTCCAGTGACGCAGGAGCCATGTGGCAGCCACCCTGTGCTCCTCGTCTAAAGAGCTGTCTATTTATAAACCCAGTCTTCTCAAAGGACCTCAGGTGACCAGGCTATGTACCTTTCTAGAAGCTCATTTTCATCCACAACCTTCCCTTCCTTTTACCAAGTACTCACACTCTAGTACCGCCTTCCAGCAATCAAACGCCCACCTAATGCATTTCCCTTCCTCACCCTCAGGTTGATCGAGCTCTTGGCTTTTTTTTTTTTTTTTTTTGATTTTTAATAGCTGAGCAGGTTAAGAAACCCAAGCCCTCTCCACTGCCCAGAGCTCCGCCCTCTGTCCCGGGGTGGCCTGGAGCTGAAGGCCAGAGAGGAAGAGGAGGGCTCTCACTGCTGTCGGGCAGGCGTGGTAGCCAGTGGGGCGGCAAAGGGTGACTCTAAAAATTGCTGCTGCTGCTGCGCCTTGTCAGGTGGCTGCTGGTGGCTCCCCAGCGGATTTTTCCCTCTCCACACCACACCCCCTCTCTCCACAGATTGCTTCTCAAAAGGAGTCTGCTGCTGAATCTTCATCATCACAAGTCGGGGACACCACTCACACAGGAGGGTAAGGAGCTGGGGCCACAGTCTCCAATCCTGGTCTCGCAGATCCCGGGGTGTGTACGGGGTGGCGTGGAGGGGAGAGGGCGGGGTGTCTGCGTGTTTGCGGTCGTGGATTCATTTCATCGAGGGAGGTCTATGGCGGGGTCAGATCCTCCTGCCCCCGTCCTGAAGCTGAGAGCCAGAAAATATTTTCTTGAAATCTAAGGAATGTGTTAGATTAGGAAAATGTCATCATAATAAGCATGCTGCTTTATAAAAGCATTAAAAAGTATTTTAAAAGCAATAAAAAAATTACTTATAATTTTTAACAATAATTTTAAGTCTCTGAGCCTAATGTAGGTTTTTCTTCCTCCACTTTATACAGAAGTGGGGGAAATCAAATTCTTTGGTTTTGTTCATAAAGTTTAGAATTCTGTCTCCATTTTTATCTGGAATCATCAGGGACATTTGGTATCTGAGAAGGTTAGAAAAATGTAATCAGTTTTATTGAGACTGGGGCAAATAAATTAGGCAACTCTTGGAATTCCCAGAAATATAACCTATTGCCAGGACAGAAATCCTCCTGCAAAAAAAGAGCAACTTTGAATTGAACTGTAAAACAAGTTTTTGTTCCAAATGTGCACATATGGCCATACTGACATGTTTTATGCTAGAAATCATTTTGGAAATGCAACAGTCAAGTGGAAACCGCCGCCCACCCGCCCCTTAAGTTGGACTTCACTTAAAATGGCAAGCGGCAGGGGCTGGGCTGTTTCTATTCCGGGAGGCAGGCTGATGACCGACCCGGACACATGCAGTGGCTGGAATGTGGCAGGGATGGGGAGCGGGCCCAGCTGACGCCCCTTTGGCAAGAAGATGTTCTGGGATCCCAGCTGGTTCTGGCCTAAGAGTGACAGTGACACTTTGGCACACATGGCTTCTTAGCTTGCCCTGGGTAGAGTCTCTCCCAGGAGGCCAGGGTGGAAGGGAGCAGGAAAGAGAGGGCTCCTAAATATAAAGTGGCAAAGCTTCTCTGCGAGCGGGTCTAGGACTTTCCATCTGAAATCTGTTTCAGGCCAGGAGGGACTTGAGTGTGAGCCTGTCTCGCAGACTTGCCCACCCTCAGAAGAGGTAGCGTTACGTTCCCATGTCTTGGTTCTGGGTCTATTTGAGGTTGTGGACCTTTCTGTGAACCCCTGAAAGCTCTGGGCCCACTTTCCAGAAGAAATACACATAAACACATATGCACAACATGTCTTCATAAGATTCCAGAAATTTTCATGGAATTCAGGGACTTGCCTGAAGCCCAACCCACAAAAGGGTTACCAGATAACATACAGGACACCTAGGTACACTGAATTGCAGATAAACCACAAACCAGGTTTTAGTATAAGTATGTCCCGAATACTATCCGGGATATACTTGAATATTGACATACGACTCATCGGTTTTCTGAAGTACAAAGTGATCTAGAGATCTTTTATTTTTTACTTGCTAATTTTGGCAACTCAGACCCAATGCACGACTCCCAAGGGAAGAATCTATCTCTGTCGGTTTTTCGTATCTGATCGTGATCTGACTCTAGGGTTCTGAAGGGCCATACTGAGGGGAGAAGCAAGACGGACCAGATTTTGACAATTCTGACAGCAAAAGCCATCTGTTTATTCTGAACTCTTTGAAGATTTTAGGACTGAAAGGGACACATCTCCTCATCTGACAGATGATTAAGCTGAAATCCTAAAAGGTCGAATGTTTTGCCACAGGTCCCTGGGGTGGGGAGAGCAAGATGAACACCAAAACCTAACTTTTAGTTCTGTGACAGCCAAAGAGACATGCGTCTTACAAACTAGATTTCCAGCCTCACCTCCCACAACCTTAACATACACACCCAAAAGGCTAGAAAGGAGAAAGCTATTTTACTAAAATTTGCAACAAAACCAAAAAACATTTTAGCCCTGGGTCCTCACGTCCTGTATCTAGGTCTGGAGGACAGAAGCTGGCTTCATGTATGGAGTTTGCACACTTTACAGAGAACAGGCCTCTAGCCAAGTTGAGCCCTAAGAAATTGATAATATTTGTCTTTAAACAAAAATCAATAATTTTATATTCAACCTAACACTTAAAAGGAAGTGTCCGAGTCTCTGATCACCCAACTCACGCAAGACTTCCTGGAACCTATTTCTCCTTGGGGCTGACCCAAACCATTGGCGTTCCACAGCCTTCTTACCCCTAAGAGAATAAAGAAGCCAGCCCACAGGCCCTGATTGTCCCCAAACAAATGTGTCTTATATTTAAAAGGGCAGGTCTTTTATTTCACTGTTTGGAGCTATAAAGAACCCTTTCGTGTGCTCCGGATCCAAGCTTTGATTTTATGCACTTGATTGCACCTCACTCAGTCTCCATCTAATGCTGGGAGGAGCTAACTTTTTCACCTGCTACAGATTTTAACCTTCCCTGGATTTAAGGGCAAGATGGGAGCGCAGGGTTCAATCTGGGTGTGAATCTTTGCTCAACTACATGTTGCCTGTGCACTGTGTGACCCTGGATGCATTTTTTAAACATCCTGTTCATTGTAAAATGAACATAATGTTACCTGCCTTTTAGGATTTCCATGATGCTTAAATTAAAAAAAATAAGATCATATAAAGTATTTACCTGGGTTCAGCACACAGTTAAGGGCTCAATTAATACAGAATAATAAATAATTATTATCTGAGGTAGAAATGGAGGTAATTATTTAGACTTAATACATAGTCCAGTTTCATGCTTGGTGATTTATATTTAGGAATTAATCATTAACATACTTAAATCTGAGTTGGGTTTTAGGCAAGTCCCTGAATTCCATACAAAAGATGATGAAAAATGTGCAGCTCCCATAACGGCCCAGGTGTGGAATACATGACACGAGCACCCTAGAAATGACACCAGAGCCAAGATCGTTGGTGGGCAGGGGAGGAGAGGGTGGACTGCACCCCTGGTGTCCCTCTGCTCAGTTTCTGATGGGCAGGTCTTCCAGGGGACCCGAGAGGCTGCCGGGGCGACGGCAGACAGAGCAGAGCGGGAAGAGGGCTGTGGGGTCCACGAGCAGACAAGGGGAATTCTCTGGGCTCCCTCTGCAGAACGAAGGGATAGCTCTGGCAGCACCAGGGAGCCTTCTACAACCTTCTGCCCCTGTGCACTCTCCTCTTTTACTCAAAAAGGGAAGGGACAGGGCTCTGGCAGTGCCCCCAAATAGCTGCTCATCCCATTACACACGCGCAGCTGCCGTGGCTC